TTGGAATTATTGAGGGGGAAGCAGCAGGGTATCAGAGCAACAATAGTTCTCAATATTTCATACTAGGTATTAAAAGCTAGTGTCTTCAGTGACAAAAATTTGGGAACAGAATGGAACTAAAGCCACCTATTTGCTTTCCACCTGGAAAGCTTCAGTTTTGACCATCAGACTAAGCAGAAGAAAAGCAAGCTCAGCCAGCCTGAGCAGAGGCCCAAAATAACTTGAGCAGTTCTTCACTTTATGAATACTCTGTTTCAGAAAGGAAAGAAGTATGCAATAAAATGATACAGAACATAACAGAATGGAGACAGAAAGGGAAATAAGCTCCTGCTGCTAACTATAAGGGCAGCTATAAAGAAGTGAAAGATTACACAATCCATCCATAAGCAAACTGCTACTGGAAATTACCTAAGAATTTAGGATTCAAGAGTGTTTCAATGGACAAAGAAAACGTTTACAATTGCATCAACAGTAACCAAAAAAGTAAATATAGATTGTTTTAAAACATTCACTCACCAATGATCCGTTTCAGGGTTAAAACCCAACTTTCCTCACAACCTGATTTAAAGAGCATCTAATACAGGAATTCAGAAATAGCACATTCTTTAGTGCCTTCACTAGTACACAGGCTGCTGTTCACAACGTCCACAGAAACACGTTCAGTAGCAGGAAGAAGTGGAAATAAAGAGATTTCAATCATGGATGAGATGACACTGAGTGCAACAAACTGCTAGAATATAGAGCTGAGTTAGCTTTTTTTATCCCCTTAAGAATTCTCTACACTGTTAAAGCGCATTTTATCAAATAACATCTAAAAAGCATTTAGGAGATTTTATTTTTTACTGCAGAAAGATAAAAAGCATCATTTTAATGCCTCTTCAAGATTCTACCCATTCAATACTAAAGAAAGCGTTAAAAAGGTCACAGCAGTTTTGTTTTGAAGGATTTTTCATGTAAGAGCTCTGCTGCCACCACAAGGATACAGGAGATGAGACAACCTAAAACTTCTAAAGCCTTTGAAGAGATTAAAGATATAACATGAATGCATGTGGTAGCACACAGCAGAACTGGCTTGTGCATGTGGATATTGAGGTTTCGTGTTACCTGTTTGAATGGCTTTACTAATGCACCTACCAATTTTTGTCACAGATACACAGCACATTCCCATTCTCAAATTAAATATTTCAGCAGTGTCTCAGAGTGCTCTATTGGACAAATTTGGGTGCTACTCCTCCACAAAAGCAAGCTGCCTTTATATTATTGACGAGTGGAATACAAGATACTGACTTTCAAGTCCACCACTGCCTAATACCAGATACTACCTATAACACTACTATGCAAATTCACACAGTATTTTGCTTGTAGAGATGAGCAGGTTCTCCAAACCAGGGCATCCAAGTGTTAGAAACAAAGGATGAGTGGGTGCAGGTGGCATGTTAAAGAGAAATAGATAAAAGCAACCCGGGTCACATCACATGGTTCTTGTTTGCTACTGGTCATTCACTGTTTCATATAATTCTGTGGTCTATTGTTAACACAAACCTACCACAATTATTAATGCACGTTGATAAGTAACTTGACTGTGTGGCCACACTGTTGATAAATCAGCACAATTCCATATTTTCCATCTCAGAAGCATGTGTAGCCTGGAATCCAAGCACTTGGATGCTAATCAAGCTTCAAAATAAATAGGAAGGCATGCCTGAAGCTTCACAGGAGACAGTCAACCAAAGACCTGAAAGAACATCTGACAGAGTGGCTGTCAGGAACCCTGCCCCTGACCAAGACCCACCTTTCCCATGTTTATTTGTCCTTTCAAAGAATGGACACTTGGAATGGATGAAGAATATCTTCAAAGAACAGACTACCTCCAGATGCTAGTTACCATCCAAGTACAATCTGTATCCCAAGCAAAAACACTGTTTGGCCAGTAGTGCTTGCATCTTACCAACAGCCCCAGTGGCTATTTCTGCTCCAATTTTATTTTTTTTAAAGCTCCTTTTGTACCAGAGAACCAGTGTCACAACAGTGTCTCTACAGAGGCACAACTTGGAAGTTAGGACCAACGTGTGGTACTTACTTTTTGTGATGACACTTCAAATCACATGAAGCGATTGAACAACTGAACAATGACAAGTGAGAGAACACTTATTGAAACCACACATTTATTTAAAGTGGAGACTCTGAAGACACAAAGGAATGGAAACTTTGCAATTTGGGGTGGGTTTATTTTTTTTAAAGCTATAAAATGTGAGCTTGCAATTGTGGTGATTCAATGCTCATGGGGAAAAAACAAATCCAAGGGGGGTGCTGGATTTTTTTTTTTTTCTTTTTAAAGTTAAGCTACTTTTTTTCCCTTGCTCAGTCTTTCATTTCAACACCCACAGATATAGTTCCTGGCTTTTTTTTTTGTTTGCAGTTGTGGAGTATTTTCCCCTCCTCTAACTGATTGAAGGTAAAAACATCCTAAAATGCTTCATAATACTCAGTAAATTGAGTCTCCTGGTAGTTAAGATTCCAGGATGTTTAATCTATGAAATTAATTACATGCTAAACTGATGCAAGAATAAAATGAAAAAGGAGATTAACACACATCTTCCATCATCACTGAGGATAGGAAGTTAAGTACACATAATGTCAATGGTTATTCCCAGCCATAGCCTTAACATACAGCCATGTTTTAATCTCTAGAAGAAAGATACCATGAAGAAAGCTAGGAGAGCAAATAAAAATACATGTATATTCTCGTCCAGTTGCAATATCGATGTACTAATTTTCTAAAGGCTGAAGCTTAAAACTTGTAGTCCAAAAACTTTCGCTGGGAATGAAATTCAGGGGCAGACACAGGACCAGTTCACTTAATTACATAGTCAGTGTCTTGATTTAACCTAACATGAAAACAGAAATACAAAAGCAAACCAAAACTGTACTACCTGATGAAAAAATATAGGGACAGAGCATTTAAGAAAATCCACAAAATAACACACACACTGATTCTACTTCACTTTCCAGAAAATCAGATGCTCACAAAGATTTTAACAGATGAAGAAACTCACAGATCTCATTCATAGTGCCAAAGAGAAAATCAAGCATAAGATAAAACTCATTTTCAATTTGCCTTTTGAAAAGAAACAAACCTCTGACATGTATACCCTTTAACTACATCACGTAGCCAACATTCTTTAAGAACCAATTCTGGCTTGGTTCCTGGTGAAAGCCAAAGGGAAATTATTGCCCAGTGCTCTGCAAGACTCTTCTGCCAGCAAGGTCATGTAAAAGTAAATATAAAAAACCAAACACTTCCAGTAGCAAGACGAGAGCAGTCATACATTGAAGTATCTCTCCCCAGGAGTATTTTATACAAGCACTGTGACTCTCTACATGTTAACACTGCCCAGCAGTGGTGGGACCAACCTCTGAAGTCATTCTGCCATCACAGTGGCACAACTACCAGCCATTTCACAGGGGCCAGATTTCCCTTACATTTTAATGACTTGGGTAGCTAATTCCCCACTGGAATGGCTAAAAGTCAGTATTACTTTATTCAGTAACTAAGTGCAGACACGTTGACCCCTTTGAACACTTGCAACGGAACAGAGTTCAAAATAGTGCAGTAACTACACCCCAAGTCTGTTCCATATAGTGTTTCTCCCAAGCACACCTTGCCTTTTGCTTTTTCAAGTTCCTCAGCCTGGGGAAGGGGGGTCATGGGGCCACAGGGACCAACTATTGATTTATCAGGAATGTTAATACAATAGAAATTACAAGGGTTATAGATTACCGGTTAGTCCTGCTCACATCATGTTCTTGTATTTATTGTTTGGGTCAACAAAAATCAGATCAAGCATGGTTTCTCAGGGTCACCTGCAATCATACCATTCTACAACACCTTTTATCAATCAAAACAGTATTTGTGCAGCTATACTAAAACTAGCAAACATTTCTAGAGTCAGTTAGCCCTATAGTTATTTCAGTGTTGCCACCAACATTTGTTGAAAGACACAAAACTCAGTTGTTCGTAGAGCAAACCACATTCTCTGTCTCTTTCCAAGTCCATAAAAGTATTTTAAAAGACTTATCTAGCTCAATGTATGTATCTAAAAGGAAATAGTACCTTTAATGTTCTAGTTGGAGCCCAGCCAGTGCCATCAATTGAATGTTCTCTCAATAAACTGGAAAAGAGACACACATATTAAACAGTGCAACTTCTAGTTAAACAAACTTTGCCAGAAATCTTCTCAGAAAACATTAAGGACTTAGCAAGTAATTGCAACATAAGAATTACCTCTTGCACTCTGTCTAGGTACGGGATATTGAAGTACAAGAATTGGTATGTCTTCCTAGAATTACATTCTACTTAATGTCATTACAGATCACCCAATCTGAGCTCAACCTTTGTCAAAAAATCAGAATTATTTTCATCAAGCAAAATAAGTGTGACAGAAATCCTTGTGGGACCATCTCATCATCGAACCTGTTTTCCCCAGAGCACACAGACATACGTGCTCCACTTTTGAACATGTTCATCTTTGATGAAGAGACAGGCTTGCAGAATGCCTATCTCTCACCAAATTTGGCACAATTCAATCCAAAAAAAAAAAAAAAAAAAAAGGGTATTATTTATCAGGAATGTTAATACAATAGAAATTACAAGGGTTATAGATTACCGGTTAGTCCTGCTCACATCATGTTCTTGTATTTATTGTTTGGGTCAACAAAAATCAGATCAAGCATGGTTTCTCAGGGTCACCTGCAATCATACCATTCTACAACACCTTTTATCAATCAAAACAGTATTTGTGCAGCTATACTAAAACTAGCAAACATTTCTAGAGTCAGTTAGCACTATAGTTGTTTCGGTGTTGCCACCAACATTTGTTGAAAGACACAAAACTCAGTTGTTCGTAGAGCAAACCACATTCTCTGTCTCTTTCCAAGTCCATAAAAGTATTTTAAAAGACTTATCTAGCTCAATGTATGTATCTAAAAGGAAATAGTACCTTTAATGTTCTAGTTGGAGCCCAGCCAGTGCCATCAATTGAATGTTCTCTCAATAAACTGGAAAAGAGACACACATATTAAACAGTGCAACTTCTAGTTAAACAAACTTTGCCAGAAATCTTCTCAGAAAACATTAAGGACTTAGCAAGTAATTGCAACATAAGAATTACCTCTTGCACTCTGTCTAGGTACGGGATATTGAAGTACAAGAATTGGTATGTCTTCCTAGAATTACATTCTACTTAATGTCATTACAGATCACCCAATCTGAGCTCAACCTTTGTCAAAAAATCAGAATTATTTTCATCAAGCAAAATAAGTATGACAGAAATCCTTGTGGGACCATCTCATCATCGAACCTGTTTTCCCCAGAGCACACAGACATACGTGCTCCACTTTTGAACATGTTCATCTTTGATGAAGAGACAGGCTTGCAGAATGCCCATCTCTCACCAAATCTGGCACAATTAAATCCAAAAAAAAAAAAAAGGTATTTTTGGTGGGATTAGCAAAAAAAAGGACTTCAGGTTCTTAGAGGCAGGGATAGGAAAGTGAAATATTTTGGGTCTGTCTGCTCAGGGACTTTCTACAGCAGCTGTAACAGGAGCAGATGCATTTCAAGGCTGTGGGACACAGCACAGGAAAGCCTAGTGCAGACTCTTACAGTAGGTGACCTATATTGTACATAGAATATTTTAAGGCTTTACAAATTCAACACCATACAAACCCAATCAGTTGGTGGGATTAGCAAAAAAAACGACTTTAGGTTCTTAGAGGCAGGGATAGGAAAGTGAAATATTTTGGGTCTGTCTGCTCAGGGACTTTCTACAGCAGCTGTAACAGGAGCAGATGCATTTCAAGGCTGTGGGACACAGCACAGGAAAGCCTAGTGCAGACTCTTACAGTAGGTGACCTATATTGTACATAGAATATTTTAAGGCTTTACAAATTCAACACCATACAAACCCAATCAGAAATCACTACAAAAACTACTCTGGGCAAGAGAGATTGCTTACAGGAAGAAAGCATTCCTTATAAACTATAATACACACTCCTGAATTTTAATACAAACATATATGAGTATTGATATAAATAATTAAGATACAGACTTTCCTATACACATACTGTATAGGAATTTTATGTGACCTGCATATTATGCTATATATTAAGTCCAGTGAAACTGCTGATATATTAACAAGTTGAAAACATTAAGGTGTATTCCGTTGGTTAGACGTTCCTGGACCTTTTGAGTCAAAACATCAGTTGTTATGAGAAGTAAAAATGCAGGAGACCAGAGTATAATGGAGAGATGAGCTAAAGTGTTGCTCACATTTGTAAAAGCAAAAGCACTAATCTGAATGAGAAAGGAAAAGTCTGGAAAACTCCTTGAAGCATCATTTCACAACCGTGTGTCTTCCTCTGTTAAGAAGCAATCTCAAACTGAGAATTCATACAGCAAAGTAGCAAAGCATTAAAAAAAAAAAAAAAACCATCACCGCCAGCAGCTTCTACTACTGAAATGAGAGAATTGAAGTGAAATAGTCTTAAGATATGAGGCTTTACCAACTTTCAGGATGGCATGCATTAAGTTATTTTTAAATTACAGTAGATGACTGGACCATATAAACCATGCATATAGTTATTTATTGAATGTGCCAAGATTTTAGTGCAAGGAAATATACTATGAGTAGCATTACTCCTCATCCAATGTAGAGAGGCTAGGAACAGGATGATCATACTGGACAAGACTATTCCATCCTGACCGTGTTGCTAATCTCATTTCTGTGCCTTAAAATAGATAAAATATGCCATTACCACCAGTGCAGCTCAAAACTAATTTAAAGAACATTAAAAACAGCATTTAGTGGTTGTGATTTTTGTTGATATTAAAAAACTAAAAGCAAAAATGTTGCTGAACAGGCAAAAGCCAGGATTTTCAGGTTTTGAGCAAGTAAAGGACTTTTTAACCTTGCTTTCTGTCTGTTCCTCATAAAATTATGCTACAGTACTCCCCTTTGCCTCTTCATATACCTCCCTGTGAATGTAAGAGCGAGGAATAAGTTAACACACACAAAAAAAATGCATAAAAACATCAACTGACAGAGCTCAAAGTCCCTGACCATACCAATTGAGCCTCTTTAACAACCTTCCAGCTTCCCAAAGCCTCAGAGCTCTCTTGGCACATCTCCACCTGAGGAAGTCATCAGCCAAGACTTTAGACACTCGTACCTCTCTCAGAGCTCTAGCAGAAAAGCAATGTAGGTAGACAAGCGTATCTTCACCTAATATTTCTCATTTGCTGACATAATTCATTTTTAGACCAGCATCCCTCTTTCTTCCTACAGATTTGGAATGATCATTAGGCACCTAATCAAAACTTTTCACCAGACAGGAAGTCTTGTCCTCTCTATGGGGATGACCTAGATATAACTGCCAGACGTTTTGGAGGTCTAAGTGGTGATCTGCCCTCAGAGCTTCATACACACAAACAGCAGAATGAACACCTGAACGAGCAGAAATACACCAGGAAATAGTTCAGTGGATGAACAAACATCTGCATGTAGTTTCTGTTCAAAAATCTGTCATCCACAGGTCCTGCTGCCATAGAGGAGCTGGGCTACTAGGAAGTTCTCCAATGGCACAACCAGCAGAATTATTCTTGCCCACTCAATGCTTCAAGAGGTTGCCTTTGATGAGGTGCCAGATACACCACAGAACCCACCTGTTCTACCTGGGTTTCAGGAAACATGTTTACTTGAAGTGACTACTCTAAAATAGCCAGGAGCACCTGAAAGCTGATCTAGTATTTATTATTTAGATTGAATAAACATTCAGAAGCTTCCCTTGTGATGCTGGAGAATGGATTTGCAAAAGTAAAGAGAGGGGTAAACCAACTGTACCATTTCTGCAGCTGTGGGGAATGCTGTGACACGAGGAGTTTGTCAGGTGAGGAACTTCACTAGGAACAGGGAAGGACAGTAAAACACTTGCCACTTGCTTTGTCTTCAGCTGTAGAGGATCTAAGAAAAGCCAAGAGGGTCCTCAACCACACCTTAACATCTGGTGCTTGTATCTAGGGAGACCTCCCAGAACATGATTTCAAATCCTTATGCCCAAGTTCCTAAGGGAAGACTGCAAAATCACTATTTTTGAAGCTATAGTAACCAAACCAGCCACCGAGGTGACCAGCCAGCTGCTCAGATTTCATTTCCACAAATATCTTCTCATTCTGCTTTTTCTTCTTAAATACACAGCATCCTGAAGAGACCTTGCAAAAACATCTACTGAACTGGGAATTACAGGGCTTAAAACTTTCTGAATGTCCAGCTGACATGATTTACAGCTTAAGTGACTAAGGATTACTGTAATGGGGAGACCAGACCAGGAGAAAAGGCTGCTTTATGTAAAGATCTCAGATGAATACATTTATCAACATAAAATGTCAGCTCCAACAAAACTTTTGCCTTCCTTTTACCAACCGAAAGTATCATTCAAGGTAAATTTGAATTAAAAATCTACTTCAGAAACCCTCCACTGGCAGAGACACATTAGAGGGATTATTCTCTTGCTAGGTTCCCACTGCCCACCTTCCTGCTCAACCCAGCTCCTCCAGTCCAACCATTCTGGAGGCCATGCTATAAACTGGACGACCAGAGCAATCAGTGTAGATAATCTCTCTAAAGTGCTTTTTGTTTCCACATTGCCACAGCTGAGAAGACTGCACTAGGAAAGAGAAACAAGTAATCAACTTAAATCAGTTTTTATAACTGGTGAAATTGCAACACTGAGCTATACAAGGTGATACAATTAATCAGTCTTCAAACGCTTCTCCATTCAGCAGCCTTTAACACTGCATCATGAAATGACCAAATCTTGACTATCAACACCTACTGATGAACGACACCTCCAACAAGACTGACCACCTCAACATGTAACAGAAAAGCAGTGAAACTGCTGAGTGATTGTTCTAAAAGCTTATGCAGTCAAGGAGGAAAAAAACCCAAACACCTGAGAGATCACATCAATGCAGGGGCAGGGGGGGAAGCATTGTCAAGAATGTAGTCAAGTGGTGTACATAACAAGCAAGCATCTCCTCTCTAGGTATCATGATGTTTTTTATCCACATGTGTGGTAGAGAAAATACCCACAAGTATGGTCCAGCCCTAATTAATATGGTCCATTATCAATACAGTTAGGAGTAACCGCAATCCTTAAAGCGCAGAGAAACAACACTTTTCCTGCCCAAAACTACTATACCTGACCACAAATTAAATATTTTGTTATGTTTTAATTCAGAGATGATTATCAAACCAACACACACCATAGCGTGAGGTATGTTTAGTAAAAGACAGTTGGGAAAAGTACTGATAAGGAATTTTTTTTCTGCTTTTAAAAATAACCGAAGCTATTTTAATATAAAGACTCTTGTGGTTGATTGCAGGCACTATATATAGAGTGCATTCTCCATTATAACTGGCATAAAGCAATTTAAGTTATTTTAGTTTTTCCATCTAAACTGTAAGACATCTCAAAGGTTTGATATGTTAAAGTACCCAACAATCAAAGCTGGGGGACAAGAAACAGTGAAATATCCTCAAGAATGTGAAGAGGCTTTATTTAACCTTGGAAGGTGTAGTATTGCAGTCAGAGCTTAAACTTTTGGCTGTCATTTGGTGTCTAGTATTCCTTGTTCCCTGGTTACAGCCCATTTATTCATTCCTTGACTCACATTATTTGATGAAAAGCAAAGCTTTCTCTACTGAGTTGCAAGGACTCTGGTGGAATTTAAACTGTTAAAATATGAGCCTTAAATCAGCCTCCCTACTGTCAAGTGCCAAGTACACCTCACTTATTCCTTTACTCACATTATTTGACGAAAAGCATCAAAGCTTTCTCCACTAAGTTGCAAGGACTCTGGTGGAACTTAAATTGTTAAAATATGAGCCTTAAATCAGCCTCCCTACTGTCAAGTGCCAAGTTCAGCTGTGTAAAATGCAACAATCCTAGGATGCTCTGAGAAACACTACAGGGCTGGGAGATTTACTAAAAGTAGCAATACGTATTTGTTAAAAACCTCCTTTTAAATCCTCCAATCCCAAAGTGAGGTAAAATCTATGGAGAGTAGCCATTCCTGCCTGTACTCCTGCTGCAGTAGTCTGGCATTGATGAACACCAGTAACATGCTACAGCCTCCCCAGGCTGGTTTCATCACCCTTTTAGGATATGAGATTCTGAGAAGCATGAAGCAGACCCCTGTGCTCTGTGCAGAGATCAGCTCTTCAGCTGCTTAGCTGTTATCAGCTGATGAACCTGACCTACCTATGAAGTGTGACAGATTACCCCGTGAAAACTTCTTTTTCACCAGGACCACGAGCACAACATTAAAATGATTTTTGAATCTAGAGGAAAAGTTTTCTTGTTTTTTTTTTAAGGACTAATGTGCTACACATGGGGGCAACCGTTTTGGATTTTCAGAATGGCTTTCAATCTCACTTATTTTCATTTCTTCTGCTTCATCTAGTTTTTTCTTTTACGTCCCATTAACTTCAAAAATGACAGTCGTGCTTCTCACTTCCGTTTACGTTTGGTTTCTGGCCAATTTCACCATCAGGTACTCATGAAACACTGAAATTACAAAGTTTCAGAAACTGACTTTGAAGAGGAGACATTTACTACCAAGCAAAACCACCCAGCAACATAAGCCTCTCACTTTGATAAAGTTTTTGGGCTTCATATTTTGACTTAGACTCCTGCAACTCTGCTTTGTTATAACTGGCACATGTGTGTTATAGAGGACATTAAATGTTAAAATAAACAAATGGCAAATATAGAAGAGTTACTGTCAAAATTTAAGGGACATTTTTTCCTTCCTTTTTGAAATATAAATGGTTTTCAAGCACTTAACATGTTCAGGCACTAAAACAAGTAAACCCTTAAGCCCTCTCAGGGCCTGAGGACTATTCACCTATGGAGGGAGGAAAAAAACACAACTAAGTTTTGTTCAGGTTGAAGTTTACATTTTACCCTGAGTAGAAGAAAATGTTGTCTTAACCTGAAGAGTTAAGACTTACAAAAAGCTCTACACAGCCTCTAACACACAGCAAGAACAATACTTTCTGTAGTTCCAAGTTCCTAAGCATCATGTGCCCCATTGACTTGCAGAATGTGCTGAAAAAGATATTGGCTTGAAAATTATATGCAATGTTTTCACTCACACAGAAAAACCTCCAAGATTAAAAAAAAATAAAGCAGAATGCTGTTGCTACCTTAGGCAGATTTCTCCTGTCTCTGTAATGTTCGGATGCCAGATTCTTGTCAAGCATTTTACCTTTGGAGGCTGCCAGGAAAGAAAACAAATTACAACGTTATCCTTTAAAATAAAACCATATCACTGTTACAAGTCACAGCAAAGGCAAATATATTTGGTATTCACAGCCTACATTTGTATGTTACTGATAATATAACCTACAGGAGTTATACCAGCTTTCTCTGCCCTTTTAGAATCTCTCAACTCTTTACAAAAGCTGAGCTGGTTAGAAAAATGTAACTTTAAAGAAAGCCAAAAAAAAAATATATTCTTTTATCCTGTTTACTTCAGGGAAAATAAAACATTTTATGTCATTCAGTTTCTTAACACTTAACCAGTAACACAATTTAAACCGGAAAACTACTAAGTGTTTTCCCCCAAGGCTTATCCAAGTCAGTGGTTTGTTAAAAACCAGCAGAGGCTGCAATGGTAACAACTACATCAAAAGAACAGCTTCTTTTAAACACAGACCTTCCTGTTCACAATTGAATAGGAAGTATCACAAGAAGCATCAAAAGGGCGCATCATACTCGAACTTAAGACACTAACATAAAAAGCCACTAAACTTATTTTCAGGCAAGATCACCAGATCTCTGAATTCCATAGCGGGTTTTGAAATACAGGTTCTTAAAATACAGTCTCATTTTCTCTAGTTTTGCGAAGTAAATAAAGAGCAGGTCATAAAAATTCCAGTAGCTTAGCAACAACACGTCCTTCCATCCATGCTCTCCAAATTACAATTTGCAGCTTTCAATCAAGCAGTTGATTTCTTATAGCAAGTGTACTGGAATACATCAGCACAGACCGGTACCTTTCATATCTTCAATTAAATCACATACTATAGATGTGAAGCTATTTTCCTCCACTGCTCCCCATGAAGTCTTCAGTCAAGAGACAAAATAGCTCAAAGAGCTGTATTTGCGTAGCGGCACGATGTGTTTTGTCTCATTGCTTTATTCTCAATTATCTTTTTAGTAAAATATTTTTTAATTAAGACTCCTTGCAGAAGAGAGAAGAAAATATACATGGTGCTGAACTACCAATAATATACCTTTCCAGCACTAAAAGAAGACATACCTATCACCATAACATATCTGCCATTTATAATGTAGCTGTTGGCTTTTCTCCACTCATTTCATATTTGTCCAATAACTCAAGGGACACTGACTGTCCCAGTGCTGGATAACAGCATTACTGAAAATGAAGTGGCATGCAGAAAACAGTCTCAAACTTTTTACCTTCAAAACAAACGTTCTTCTAAGAAGTTTTCTAATAGCAGGGTTTTTCATTAGCTAAACCTTCACATTGTTTTGAAAGATTACGTCTAGCTCTTAAGAAAGGGAAAGCAGCAGCATTTATTCCATGCCAGTAGATCAAGATAAAAGAGTAAATTTCTACTATATGCACCTTCAAACCTTGTTGATGAGGGGAAAAAAGTAAGCTTTATACGAACTAAATCTTTAAAAAGAAATATATCCCCAAATCCTCACAGTAAGAGTGAATGAACTGGTGTCTCATTTTTTGTACTTCAGAAACAAAAGAACTCCTTTCACCTTCCATCAAAGTATTTTCCATTGCTAAAAATTAGAAAAACCCTTTCCTGACAAGTTTTCTCTCTTTTCCTCTTTCTTTGTTAGATAGACATGACAACTGCAGCACTATCATAAAATTCATCTTCAGACAAAATTTCTCCTTCAAGCTTTGAGTCTTCCTTTAACCAGTAAATCCACACGAGATTTCTTCAAGATGATGTTTCACCTGAATACCTCCAACCATCTCCAGGTGGTACATGTGACACTTTGCCCAACCAAGCTTACAAAATCTGTTTATTTCATTGCTCAAACTCATCCTTTCCCTTAGATACCAAAAGCTGCAGAGGTAGATCCAGTCCCAGTTGGGGGATTTATTTCATTGCTCAAACTCATCCTTTGCCTCAGATACCAAAACCTGCAGAGGTAGATCCAGTCCCAGTTGGGGGCCACGGCAGTGAACAAATTGATTTTCTTCTCCATTTGAAAGCAGCCACTTCTCTTTTGGGATCTCTCAATAGTTTTGATCATGGAAATTGTCTGACTTTCATGTCCATTCTCAGTCCACTTCACCAGATCAGTGAACACATATAGATGGTACAAGAAAGTGTTGCAAGCATTTGAGAACTACACATATACCAGCTTCAGTTTTGGCAGAACTTTTGCAGAACAAGCCTCAGATAAAATTTGTCTCATTATTAGCTGCATTTTTAAAGAAATCTCTCCCCTCCATTATTCTTATCAAATGACAGACTGAATATAAAGTGCTAATCAATAAATGAACTTACTAAAAATTTCAGATCTTGATCAGTTTGGCATTCTAACGTGGTAAGTGTACTAATACAGATATTTTATCTGTCCTGTAACTCTAGTTTTTTTGCTTTACAACCTTTTCTCTAGAGAAGGGAAGGGGTGCCTGGCAGAAATTTGGAACCAATGTTCTTTGCAATGCTTTCTCTAGAATTCAGATCTTGATCAATTTGGCATTCTAACATGATATGTGTACTAATACAGATGTTTTATCTGTCCTGTAACTGTAGTTTCTTTGCTTTACAACCTTTTCTCTAGAGAAGGGAAGGGGTGCCTGGCAGAAATTTGGAACCAATGTTCTTTGCAATGCTTTCTCTAGACCCTATAGTCATTCTCATAAAGTGCCCTACAACTATGACTCCAGTGGGTTGGTTTTTTTTTATAGTTTCCCCAAAACAGGCATTAACAGGAAGACAGATTCCAGAGGCCAAGCTACAAGCTAGCCTTGAGGTATTTCTTGCCATTCTCCCCTACCAGTCCCTGAAGAATTTCTTGAGATGAGCCTTGACACAAGAACTGCCCAAGGTGAGCACTGCAGGTCTCTGAGCTTCCTTGCACCACCTCAAAATTTCCATATGGAGGCATAAGCCCAATTCCCATTTCACCAATTCCAATCCAAGGCCTGTATAAAGCAGGATCAAAGAGGTAGACGGAAACCCCTTAATTGTGACATCTGATCCTTCAAGAATCAAACCTCTTTCAATTGTTTGCTATTTCCACAACTAACATACTGGCCAGAAAAAGGACTAAGACTGGGAGCTCTGCTGGTAAATTCCCAGCTTTTGACCACTGCCTAAGGCAACTCATGTCAGAAAAACCTTGCTATTCTGGAAAGACTCTAAGACTCTCTACTCTGACATGATACTTCAGAACCACAGGAGCTGCAGACAAGGCCCAGCCTGTGGTGTCAGTTTAGATTTACAGATAGTTAACCAGTACTATTAATTAGGCTCAATTCTCTAACACACCACATCCCTAGTCTTGTAGCACCTATTCTTGCATCAGCTGCACCTCAAGACAGAAGGAGAATTTGTTTGCTTGTTTTTTAAATCAACCCCCCACCATTAGATTATTTTTTTATCATTATAATTATAATATTTTTTTTTATAATATTTATTCCCATCTCCCACTGACCTCTATTCCTGGGCAGCTGGTCAACCAAAGAAACGGTGCTTGGGGAAAAGATGATGCAGAGACAGAGTTCAGGCAGCAGCACTTGGCACAGAAGGGATTTGCTGTGTACACTTTTTAAGGTTTTGCTTGCTGTTTCCTGGCGTCTGCAGGTTTTGTAAGCACAAACACTAACAAACTTCCCTTTGCTTTACACAAAAGCTGATGAATGTGCAGCCTGTTTCCTAACAAGAATAATATTTTAAAAAGCCAAGTGACAGGCTTAGCAACAGATTTTAGTATGGTGTCTCATTTTTTGTACTTCAGAAACAAAAGAACTCCTTTCACCTTCCATCAAAGTATTTTCCATTGCTAAAAATTAGAAAAACCCTTTCCTGACAAGTTTTCTCTCTTTTCCTCTTTCTTTGTTAGATAGACATGACAACTGCAGCACTATCATAAAATTCATCTTCAGACAAAATTTCTCCTTCAAGCTTTGAGTCTTCCTTTAACCAGTAAATCCACACGAGATTTCTTCAAGATGATGTTTCACTTGAATACCTCCAACCATCTCCAGGTGGTACATGTGACACTTTGCCCAACCAAGCTTACAAAATCTGATTTATTTCATTGCTCAAACTCATCCTTTGCCTCAGATACCAAAACCTGCAGAGGTAGATCCAGTCCCAGTTGGGGGCCACGGCAGTGAACAAATTGATTTTCTTCTCCATTTGAAAGCAGCCACTTCTCTTTTGGGATCTCTCAATAGTTTTGATCATGGAAATTGTCTGACTTTCATGTCCATTCTCAGTCCACTTCACCAGATCAGTGAACACATATAGATGGTACAAGAAAGTGTTGCAAGCATTTGAGAACTACACATATACCAGCTTCAGTTTTGGCAGAACTTTTGCAGAACAAGCCTCAGATAAAATTTGTCTCATTATTAGCTGCATTTTTAAAGAAATCTCTCCCCTCCATTATCCTCATCCAATGACAGACTGAATATAAAGTGCTAATCAATAAATGAACTTAAATTCAGATCTTGATCAATTTGGCATTCTAACATGATATGTGTACTAATACAGATGTTTTATCTGTCCTGTAACTGTAGTTTCTTTGCTTTACAACCTTTTCTCTAGAGAAGGGAAGGGGTGCCTGGCAGAAATTTGGAACCAATGTTCTTTGCAATGCTTTCTCTAGACCCTATAGTCATTCTCATAAAGTGCCCTACAACTATGACTCCAGTGGGTTGGTTTTTTTTTATAGTTTCCCCAAAACAGGCATTAACAGGAAGACAGATTCCAGAGGCCAAGCTACAAGCTAGCCTTGAGGTATTTCTTGCCATTCTCCCCTACCAGTCCCTGAAGAATTTCTTGAGATGAGCCTTGACACAAGAACTGCCCAAGGTGAGCACTGCAGGTCTCTGAGCTTCCTTGCACCACCTCAAAATTTCCATATGGAGGCATAAGCCCAATTCCCATTTCACCAATTCCAATCCAAGGCCTGTATAAAGCAGGATCAAAGAGGTAGACGGAAACCCCTTAATTGTGACATCTGATCCTTCAAGAATCAAACCTC